GGTTTATCACAACATCATCCTTCACTCTCGACATCAACGAATATTGGATTTATTTATCACGCAATGTCAATGAACAAATAAATGTTTCACAATGATAAGGATGCATACAACACAGAAGTGTTTCACAATTTTGAAAATTAGAAATTCAAAGCAATTTTGCGTGACAAGTCATCGCAAAGTGAAAAACTGGTGAAGCTGAATGTATAAGCAGAAACAAACGATTGTTAAACGTCAGCAAGCGAGAATTGTTCTCGCAAAATAAGAACATTCCAAAAATATCACAGATAGCAAGTGAAAGAAGTGAAAGAAATTGCAGTGAACTTTTATGGAAGAGAATTTCGCACATGGAAATTCGAAGAAACGGCTTATGAGTGATGTGAAGTATCCTCGTCCGACTTATCGCAATCATTGGGGTGCTTTGATGATTATGCTATCAGCTTAAGTAGAAATATATTTGTTGGGTAGGGATTTGAGCCTTTTGAAGGTTCTCCAGCAAAATAATTCAAGCGAAAACTCCCTTCAACTAACAACGTCAGTCAAGCTGAAAACCAATAAATCATGAACCTGGTTGCGTCATAAGTTCCCTTTTCCCTTCACTCATAACATTCATGACGTTAACTTTTTAACGTTCTGACTTTATGAACCAATTCCCAATGTGGTTCAATTAGATGTTAGTTGTTTACAGTTGTCCTCGCAGCATACGATAATAATAAGGAAACAACAAACATCTAGATGAATTCTTGCTCAACAATTCAAGACAGCAACTAAAAGATGTGTTAGGTTTAGATGCCAGTAGACACTAGTGATGGTAACAGACCGAAGTTCGAACGGAATACAGAGTTTCGAAATTTTAAAATAAGAATTCGGTCGGATTCCGATTGAAGATTTTTGAACTTCGGTCGGAATACCGATTTCTTGAATGTTTTGAAGTCGGTTCGGTTAGATTCCAACCGAACTGGAAATTCGTTCGTTTGTCATCGCTAATAGACACTACTTCATTAACTTATTCATACTGATCAACATTGATGAGCATAACTGTTCAAGTAAAAGAGTGCACTTGTCATTTAAAGATTAGCACGAATAGCATTATCAATTAACTTCACAAAGCCAACAATTCTGCAGGAGCAACAACATCTCAAGCTGTCACTAACATTCATCCACTTCATATTCATCATCAACCTAGGAATGTTCATTCATTTGTATTAATTCATCTCAACGCATGACTGATTTGTAGTCAATGTATGCATGCATACGTTCGGTCACTTACTTCGATCATTCCCTAATGTTCATAGCCCACAAGCAGACAAATGAATGCGAAAAATAAATTCGTCGTTTCTGAACACAAACACTTGGTAATATTGCTGAATTGATGGATTACAGCTTGTCTCTTACACCTATATATCTTGCAAATGCTCATCGCATACGACTATGAACTTATAAATGCTCTCAACTTATGCATTTATTGTTATTCCTGATCGCTTTTAGAACATCACAGGATTGAGATGAGATGTTCGTTAATACTTAATTAGTAGACTGGTGGAACGTGATTGGTGGGAGTGACAACGGAAACGTTAATGAAATGATGCATAGATAAATACATGAAATCAATGGAATGATTAAGATAATATCTTTTAGACAAAATGATTTGTGTGAGGATTTAACACTGAAAGAGATATTAAGATTGGATATCAACATAATACATGGGCAATTAATAAATGATCATTACAGAGAACGGTCATGTGCTGGGCAATATCTGATATCAGGTGACCTGCTTTCAAAAAACGCAGCCGAGGAATTGATTATAACGCCCAGTGAACAATTAAGCGTGAGGTTCTTTGAAATGAAGAATGTGCCCAAACGAGAACCTACTCGTTGGGATGTGCAAAATCATAACGGATACAACACAGAAGAATTGAAAAAATACCGAGGGCACGGATAGACGAAATGAAATGTAAAAGATGAACAATGAAAGAGGTGATAGAATGCAATTTGTTCATAATATTGGGCATTGTTTTCGGTGATAACACGGCAACAATTACCGAGTGCAATTTAACAGAAATGATGACTGGAATCAAAATACAACTGAAAAACACCGAATAAATGAAGCTTTGAAACAAGCCATCACCATTTCCATTAAGAGACCTATATATACATGTATGTGAATGATATGAAAAATTCAACGGAAAGATGCAAAAAATTCCACTAAAATTCAGTAAAAGTATGGCACAACGATTGAACAATTGAATTTGGCCAAAGATCAGTAATCTATTTATATAAAGGTGTTGGTCGATGTAATACTGCCACAGCAGGTTCATTCAACGGGGGGATATGTTCGGTGCTTGCAGGCAGTGATATACGACCGGGCACTAGCGATACCCAATCGCGTAATCCTCGAAATGAGACGATCCGTTGCGTTAAACTATGACCAACATAGTAGCCTTGCGTCGGCTCGAAATGATTCAACATCATTATCAACTAAAAGCGACTAACTTCACTTCATCATCAATCTATTCATTTCCAACCAAAGTCACCTCTTCAGAAACTTCTAAATCACGACAAAGATTAACTTACAAGTTGAATGATTTCCCTCTCAAAAATTTCGTCAGTTAATCTACTAGACAATTAACGATTCACTTAGAATAAAAAAAGCCGCATCGTCCTGTCTACCTGTCTGTGCAGTGGCGGTATCGAATCGACTGTGTTAAACGTGAATCGAGTCGAGAGAACATTCGACGACTTTGAACAATCACAATGTACCTTCAAATATTCTCTTACTTCTAAAACTGATCGCCAAAAGCAACTTATTTATGTCACTAGCCAAACTCTCTCGAGTTGATACTAGCACAATACAAACTAAAAGTAACCTGCAAATATTTGTCCTCATGAAGATTATCGATTACGAGCAAATGACCACTGAAATTGTCGGTTATATAACGCGCTACCACACCTTCGAGTGCCTAGATCATCTTTTATATTAGTCGAGAGCAGTCATCAGTCAAACGTTCAATCTAATCTGTGAAAATCATTGTTGCTCAAAGGTGACAGACCTCATCAACCACTATCACCTATGAGAATCAATACACTTTTCATCACAAAATCAACTAAAACAGTTCGAATACCTTGTGCAAAGTGCCCTCTTTGAGAGCCATTTCAATCAGTGACTCTGTGGCGACACTCGCTGGGAAGCGTACTTTCTCAGCCATCAACGGATGTGCACTGAAAGATGAGTTGACTCGATCGACGAAAGATTGAAACAAAATTGACAACAATCAAAATATGAATCTATGATCGATCACAATCACACAATGTACCAATGATCATCTGGAGAGGATCTGAAGACTTTCGAAGAAATAGTGAATTCGTTCTACTGCACTTGAAAGATACTGTAAAAAATTCAGAGATACACTGATGACAATCGTAATATGATCATACGCACTCGAGAAAACAGACTCAAACATCTGCCTCGTGGAGAACGCAAAATGAATTGTGACAAAAAAAAATCGGTAACATCTGAAAAAGAGAGAATGAATGAATCACTGAATAACCTGTGTGCAGCAACAACCAGTTTAATACGTGTAGCAGTGCAAACGTTTGAGAAGGATAATGGTAAAATCATATATTCGCCTGGTCCGTTCAGAAACACATCACCCGTACTCACAAACGGTGCAATTTTACGGGCTGACCTGAATTGAATTGTGATTAGTTGAAGAAATATTCTATTTCAGAACGATACGGTTAGGCGTTTGATAATCTTATTCAAAAATGCGTTCAGTTTGATCAAAATCTTTAAACAACAATGCGTTCGGCAAATTTTCACTCGACCATTTCTAAGATTCTCATTCCAAAATCGAAAACTTAACCTTTCTTTTCATTCAAACTCCATCAACTGTGAACATGGGAAACAAAAAGAAAGAATACTTCAAAATTGCAACTTCAAAACCTCGTGAATAATTCACCAATGGCACTGTTAGGAGGGCCACGTCGATGAACTAAAAGCATAATGTCGGTTTCGGTTCGCTGACGTGAACCATTCTGATAGAGCGTGAACGCAACCTCAGTTGGTCGCTGCGTTATGATACGAATACCTCTGTAAATTCTTCCAATACTTTTCCACAATAAACATTCACACTTCATAACGACTGGGACTCATCTGTATGCACTCAGTACGACTGCATACTAGGCAACATCAATCATTCTATAATCAACTGCATTTCACAGTTTCTTGAATAATACAATAAAAACGCATCTGTAGGCAGTTCACGACCACGGAAATCTAGGCAGAAACAAACGTTATATAGGAGCGTCCCCAAGATGCCTGAAGTGTGCAGTCAATGCGAAGCTCTTTCCAGCCGAATACGTTACGAACCTTCGCCACATCTACCTGAACATCTCGTTGATTCTCCGACCGGTCTTAAGATCGCTAATTACCTTCTTGAACAAAATGAATAAAATTCATTCTCTTATCAAACACTACAATTCACCAACTGCTAACCGTATCAAAATGCTGCACGAATTTCTTGAAAGGTATCCAAAAAGTTCCAGCCTCAGGGCCATTTGGCAGCAGAGCTGCACGGGCTGCTGGTGTCCAGCCTGACCATGAATCACTCCATTCTCTGTTCCACACAAACGTCCCCCATGGATTCCGCAAACGAACTAGCCTAAAAACTACACTGCATGGCATTCGGTCCAAAACTGGGAGAATACATTAATTTCATTAATTGCCCAAAATGTTCAGTACAAACATCCGAACAAGAGCAAATTGTTTCTTCTAGAATTCACTGTCTTCTTCGCAATAAACAATCTGAATTATTTAAAGAATGAATCTTCATCGAGATGAAGCAAAGAGCACGAAACAACGCACCTATGTCCATTATATTCAGTGATATCAAGAAGCGAGTACGCGTGTCTCGGTTGCAGTCCAACAGCTTTATATTCCGCATCGTTTACGTAACGTTTTCCTGCACCGCAACTACATCCCATTACGAAACGAGCTTCCCTTAAACAAATCAAACAACTAACAAATTCCAAATTGACTGCTCGTTCCGTTAAAAAATACCGATCGAAGCCAGCTGAGAATCGGTCTCACAATCAAACTTCCGGTGCTGTCTCGATACTTAAGGAAAGTATTCTCAACTCGTCTATCTTCGAAAGTATTTCGTGGTGCACACCANTACGTCAACATTAATTTCGTTAACAACTGACCCAAACTCTGAGAAACAACTCGAAAAAAGAGACGACTGACAAATGCAAAATGAAGCTGACTACTGGAAAAGATGCAAGGACAAACCTCATGCTCAGCAGACTTGCCCATAACATTTGTCGAGCATCTGGAGTGTTTGCACTCTCGAGATCTATTTGTGAGCAAGGTGCACCAGTCAGGACGGCGAGACCTTCGATTGTTCGACCGGCTAACAACTTTCCGTAACTTCCGCTTATTTTGGCGAACGCTTTCTCAATCAGTGGTACCCACAGCTGAAATTCACAATCAGAATGAATCGAGGTCAATAACCACTCAGCCAAATTCATATGGGATTTACAAAATCTGCTTCTCAAACTAAAGATAAACACATTCGAATGTCCGAGAAGAACCTCTGCCTAATCTCACAATCAGCTTAACTGTGTACCTGATTTCGGCGACCCACAGCAAAAGCAAGGCCTCGAGTGCGGGCATTACACGGGAAAAAATCATCAACAATCACAACTTGCCAACGACCATCAACACATAATCTGTAACTGACACTGAATCAAACCACACAAAATCGTTCTCGAAATAAACTTCTATTTTTTGTCGCCCACTGAAACCAAAACTATCGATTCATGCATAATGGCACTAAATTGATAAGCAGATGAGTTCATATTGCAACGATAGGGAGAAGAACAATATGGATAAAGTACTAACCGTATTTGGTAGATGCCAAATGGATTGTAGACCTTCGTTAAAACGATCTGCTCAAGAATATCCGGCCTTTCGGCTATTACAGCCAATGACGACAGAAACCAACAATTACCGAGAGAACCTGAGAAAGTTGACGTTACTGAACACGCGTTCATGCTTCAGAAATTAAATTTTCAAACTTCCACATTTGTCGCTCTCACTGCAAACTTATTGTTAGCAAGTGTCTAGCAGTAAATTTTTTTTCAATCACTGTTTTAAATTAAAATATCGAATTGTTTTTACAAAAAAACATAGAATATGATCGATGCGAGAAGATCGTGAAGGTTTGGTTGACAAAATTAAAGAAGTCACAAGAGAACAATTCCGCTGAAAAATCATCTTGAACTCAAGATGCTTCGTAAGTAATTCACAAATGTCCATCTGCGCATCGCAAACCTTGTTCGATGTCTGTCGGTCTCGGGTCACGGAATACACTCCATGCATATCGTCGACCATCTTTAGTGAACATATTCTGAGGTCGCAGCCAAATCAGCTCATTCGGATTCACTCGTGGCTTATTAGTGCCATCATTCTGCGACGATAAATCACCAATCGATTTCACACACTGCGGAAAACTGTCATCGATAAACGGTAAATTGTTGTGTCTAAATCAAAAATTGCATCAATTCTATTCCATAAACCAACTTCTGAATGTACATCATCTCATGCAGTAATCAGTGCTCAGAACTTTCATAGTATTTGAGAACAGAAATGCGGAAATCGTCCGATCACTCTCTGCGAAAAATGAAATCGTCAGACAACAAACTTGCAAAATTGAGTGATTCGTTGAAAGTTGCTCGACGCATCTTGCACATCTTTCTTCTCTAAATGTATGGAAGATGATGAAACGAATCGTGAAGTAGGCGAATCGTTTTGCTGACCCTGATTCTACATTAAAAATGATGAGATCTGACGAGAAAGTTTCACATTCCTGATTTATGATACCAATAAAACGTTTACGACAAATATTCGATGAACACCAAGAAGTTGAGTGCTCACAAACATTGCTCAGAAATACGGCCAATTCTATTACCGTTTTTGAAGGTTGACTACGATTTTTGTTAGTATTGTTGTTGTTCAATGCTGACGTTGATGGTGACGTAGGGAACGTAGGTGCTGACGATGAACGACTATGTTCTACTATACGAGGATGCGACAACGACCGAGGTTTCGGGGTTCGCCGAAGGGGGACAGGCTTGAGCGGACGAGCAACTCTCATCGGTTGGGCACTGGTTGGTGACACATTAGGTGGGGAACGCGGGGTGTGTGCATTTTGAGATGAGGGTGAGATCGGAGCAGTGAGACGATCAAATATGGACGTGTACCACTTGGAAGAGGGGTGGCTCGATGATGGATGCTGAGGTGGGCTAGTGGCTGGGCCCGAAGAGAAAGCACTTGGAAGGAGACCTGCGCTCGTTAAAGCTGAATCTATGGCATTCAGTGCGCCATTCATTGAAAGTTCTGAAATAGTTCAGACTGAATAATTATGCGATCGAAAACAGATTCTGTTTTGCCGATCGAAAACTTCTCAAGAATCGAAAGCGGATTCTTGAGAAGGAATACTCCCACTGGATTGCAGTGATTTTCAGCGGAATTTGGTTTTATCAGCTTGAATGTGCATGAGTACATTTCGGATCAGCAATTGGAAATTTATTCAATATCAGAAAACTTTTAAAAAGGTGTTAACCGTGCAGCGTGATCAATAGAACTTTAGCTCTAAGAATAATTTTAGACACATATCTCGATCATTATTAGCATCAATATCGGTACTATCACTGCCGTTACAATAACCGAATTACTAGGTGGTTTGCGATCAGTGTCATTACAATTTCTTTTGACAATACAAACAATAACATACTCGGTAATTTGAGCATTAAACGGCTTCGTTGTGTTCTTGAATTCGATGGCGTTCCATAGGCTGGATTCTGTGAACCGCATGCGGCACATAGATTTGCTGATGGATGATTAATCAACGTACAATAGTTACACGACCACCAAGCCATTCAGCATCTGACGGTGATGAATCTATTCTCGATGAAAATTTGCAAATGTGCACACACCCGGATCTGAAAAAAAAACATTGTTTCAAAACAGTAACAATCTAAAGTCATTCTTTTTTAGTCAATCTTCGTCGGATGCCATGCCTAATATGAATGTAACATACAATGAATCATAATCGTTCGAAATATTTTACTCGGCAATAAACTATTATATCAAATGCATACATGCATATCAAATGCATAAAAAGTACTTTAAACCAATACTAATGTTCTTATTGATTCTCCTTCACACCCTCGTTTTGTTTACTCACCTGAACAATTCAATACAGCCATACAGGTGACCATTTCTCAAATGAATCACAAATCGAAGTAAATATTTCATTCAAACACCAATTAATCAGTTTCACCTTTCGACCACTGTCACCACATCGATCAAACTACATTTTACAAAATGTGGTGATTGCGGTCTCAACTTCTCATACTATCTCGCATCCCGAATGTTCGAGATGACGTGCACAATAGGATTCTGACTCTCGTAATTCAGATGCGTCGCGTGCGGCTACATGCGTTTTCTGATGGCATTCAGATGTAATTTTTCGTTTTTGATGCTGGATTGGATTTTCTTTCATCACTCTTCATTTTTCATAAAGTTTTCCTCAACTAATTTTTGGTAAACCATGAAACTAACTGTGAAATAGAAAAATTCTTACAGAACATCGCTGAATAAATTAGAAAAAATGGTGAATTAATGCGTCTCTTTCGATGAAAGTGCATTTGCTATTCAGCTGAATACCTACAGATCAAGGCTAATTCGAGAATTTCAAGGGTAAGAGCGACGTTCAATGGAAGAAGATGGAATGGCGAGATGAACTTGGAAACGGGACGAGCGACTCGCGGTCAACTGGTCACTTCACCGGAACAAAGGCTATCATCAGGTTTTTCCTTTTTTTTATATCCCAAGGTTTAGGTGAGATTTACTTAACCTATCCCTGCTTTCGCTTCCATCTCCGAAAGTCACCCGTTATACGCGCCATTTCTGTCCTATGAATCAACAAATTTTACCCAATTCAAAGCCCAAAGTCCTACTGTTGAACTTCACAGTGCATTGAATGAACTGGAATGAGGGATACTTCAACCTGCCTAGGGGACTCTCGGTGGATAGCATTAGTAGGGAAGGATTTTTCCCAGCCAATCCGCTACCGTGGATATCAGTGGATTTGCTCATGAGTTATGGACTGAACTGAACGATAGAAAAGTTGGCCGTATTGAACGATCATCACGTTACAAACCGCCCCTATGACAAAGAATGCAGTATATCCTTTCATATCCGAACATTTTTTAACGCTAAAGGTTTGCGTCTCAATAGGAGTAAATATGCAAACAAGACCAATTAATCAGCAGGCAGAAAACGAAAACAATTAATTATTCATTCCGGAATTTCGAGACACAGACCCCCATAATCTCTTTTGATAAAGGAACGATTAGGTAAAACCAAAAAGAGAGTTTGTAACAAGGGAAGGGCGGTAGATTCCTTCCCCGGAAGATTAAAAAATAACTTCACTAATAAAAAGATGAGGAGGTATGTGAAATTTGGATTAACAGATAGTTAGTAAACGTGAACAAAAGAATAATGAAACGGGGAAAGATTTTTAAAAAGTGGGAAATAAATTATCAATAGGGTCGCATACGATGGCGTGACCAAAGAGGAGGTGGGATGGGGGCGCGCTCCTCTCCATTCCATTCCTCGACCCCTGAAGGGGGCAGGAAAAGGAGGAAGAAGTGGAAAAGAGAAGGAAAAAGGAGGGGTAGGAAAAAAGTAGGAAAAAGAAGAAGAAAAGAAAGGAGGAGAGGGAGAAGGAAGAACGAATAAACGTAAAAAAAGAGACCCAAGAATTCAGCTATTCTTTGAACCAGATCATTTTAAGCCCCCCCCCCCCCTGGAAAAATCTCGGTTACGCCACTGGCCGGATATGAAAGGATGTACTGCAATTTATTCGTGATAGAAATGTAAATGATGCAAACAACAAAAATAAGAATAAGAAAATAACAAAAGAAATATCATGATAGGGGAAGAATTCATCAAATCGCATACATAATTGTCATTTGCAAAATTAATTTGGAGATTGATAGATTTTTGGTTTCAAATAAACACGATCGAAGTTAACTGCCACTTGATGATTGGATAATGTCAAACAACATAATTATGTTCATATTTGTTTTTTATTCAATTTCTTTGATCTGTGTGTATTACTTTTGATGGAATTTTGAGTAGAAATCTTATTGTTACTGGTTACTATTACTTTATTTTATATTTGCTTATTACTTAATGGAGTGTTTGTCATAAGACATGAATCAACAATTACGAGAACAATCGACAACATAAGAATTTAGTCAACAATTTGAATGCTTACGATTTATCCAACAACGATTACTATTCAACAAAAGCAATTTATTCAATACTTACTATTAATTAAGGCTGGCTATCACTTGACGTGGATCGCAAATTAAGACAGGACTGTTATTCATTCAAGACACTGTCTTACTTAATTACTGCGAAAGATTTGGTGAAATTTCTTTACTCACTGTCTGATCAGTGAGAATATCTGCCCAGAAAGTAATCATTGATAAATGTGAATATTTCTGGGCACCCCGATCAACCCCTATAACTGAAGAGGAGTCATTGGGCGATAAGCATGTCAGCTCCTCAAATGGGGTTATAATTAATCAGTAGTATGATGCTATAATATGGCTGTGAAATTATTATTCTGCGATCCCGTTAAATGCTCAAAAGCCATCTGATTGAAGTCAGTGGTAGCAGCAGCCTAACAACGACAACGTTCAACATTTCTCAACAAGGATCACATCAGACAGTACACTGACTCAAAAACAGAAAGAAGAACACAAACGACAAAACCAACCATAAAATAATATTGAAAAATGTTTTAAAAATTGAAAACAATATGAACTAAAAATATTATAATTAAAAAACAAAAAATAAAGAAAAAATCCCTAAAAGCGAAAAAACTAAATGAAAATTTTAGAAAATAAATACGTAAAAATGAAAAAATAGAAAAAAAANGGAAAAAGTCGGGGTCAAATTCCCGGAAATTTCCCGACCCCCGCAACACACTAGTTACCACTGTTTTTATTGCTGTGTTCATGCAATGTTATTTTCTATGCAAATCAACAGATGTACTAATCGTATGGTTTTTGGAAAATGGCAGCTAACAATGAAAGCTTTAATAACATGGATATCTTCTTCTAAGGAAGCTAATAATATCCAATATAATTAAAGGGTTATATCAACCGAAAACACTCAACATAATGAACTTGTACGATTGTTTGCTGGGAATTAATAAAATCAGTCGATCAAAGGAAATCGAAAACGTGCAAAAACCCTATCAGATAAATGATACATGTGAAGACACATAGTACCAATAAAATAGTAAAAATGCAAATATGTTGGAGATATATGCAAATGAGGCGGAGCTAGGCAAATGACATTATGTATGCGATAGCACATTGCCAAAAGCAGTTAGACGTAAGAAATAGCATAAAGGCGGAATTCAACCAATCGTAGGATAGGGACAAGGAGTCGCACGGTCAAAAGGGCGATTCGGCCTTGATGACCGTTTCCTACGGTCAATTATCCGACGATTCAGTTCAGTCCATTGTCCATGACCTAATCCATTGGGATTCGCAGGAGTGGCTTGGCTGTGAAGAACCACATTCCCTGATAATGTTGATCATCACCAGAGCTCTCGCGAGAGGGTGAAATTGAGCTCATTTGAAGGCGTTCAACCTGGGGAGAGAAACGGTGAGATTGGCTTGGATTGGACGAAATCTGTGGATTTCAGGGCGGGGGAGGGGGGACTGTATAGCGAGTGATTACTGAGCTGAGAAGGTGGTCAGTGAAGTGGGAAGTATTTTAGGTAAGAAATTATCGAAAATTTTGCTTTTTTGCATGAGAAATAAGCATGTTTTTGCAAGCTTATTGAGAATTTGAAGACGCTGGAAGGGAAAGGTTAACGATTTTTTTCAACCTAACATTTATGCAGAAGAAATTTTTCGTTGGCAAAAAATTGTTTGAGTAGNGTCAACTCGAGGTTCAGCTCCGTCGGGAGAAGGGTGGTTTTTTCGTTCGTGTTGCAGCTTTTTCGTCCAACTTTTCCGCATCACAACATAAAATACCAGAATTCCAGAGCGTATCAGACGAAAAAATTGACAAAAATTATTAGAAACGACAAAATTGATAGAAATGCATAATATCCCTCGCGGCAACATGAAGTGATAAGCAACGCCATTAATGTCTTCATAGTAAAAGTCCATTCAGCACAAGATTTTATCGCAAATCTTCTTTAAACTTTCTTATTTATCAATTAAAACCACATTATCCGAAAGTGGAAAAGATGGAGAAATAATGTGTAGAAATTAATTCCAAAAACGATGGGTATTCATATTACCCCGAATCGTTTGTGCAGAAAAAATAAATGAAACAAATTGTAGCAACTTAACAACAATCTTCATACTCTTTTCATCCTATGAAGTAACCGATGTTTATGATGATTTCAGAGGAACAATATGCTGATTACGTGAACAATGCATTGAAAAATGGAAATTTTCGACGAATTTGCAAGAAATTGAAAGGATGAAAGCAACTAGCATATTGCTCTGTTCGTATTCGGTGCATTTTGAGGTGTGAGGTGCGGTCAGTTTCAGATAAATGAATCTCCCGAGACCGTTGGCTACTAAGGAGCACAGAATTGCTGATTCGCCGAAATGTGTGGCCGCTAGTTACGGTAGGATGATGTTGATATGTTCGATTTTTTGTAATATCTATTCGAACATAGAAACGATTTCTCTACTTTTACTTATTTACATACCGGTGCATAAATAAATATGCATCAGTTACAGGACTGCTTCACAAGTGCAAATTCTTTGACTGGGATGGCTTGTTGGCGAATGAAGGGACAGAAAGCTGACCTGATCATATTTCAGGTACGCTGGACGAAGCAAGCGATGTGGCAAGAACCGCGAGAAGTAGCACATCAAGCGACATGTGAGTGCTTTTAAAAAATTCCATCAGACCCAAACTGAGCAAAAACAAATCATCATAAGTGTTATGGTGATATCGTACCGAAATGATACTTCTTAAGCACTTAAATGAATATACGCANGTCTCATCAGTGTGAAATATTCATAGATTAATGGATAGAGAAAATCTTCACCTTCTGAAATGCCACATTTATATTGGGTGATACGTTTTCGGCATTTATTTGCAATAACACTCGATAATATTATTGAAACACAAAGGATTAATAGCTTACAAGCACAAAGGGATGACGTGATCATGCGAGCAGTACATACAAAAGTTCCATTTCATCATGCGAATTAATAAGGCCAATCACAAAGGGATAAGATGATCATCATGCAGCAGTACATACAAATGTTCCATTTCATCATGCATATCTTATATCCTCATACATGTATCATATCTTGTCCGTAAATATCTAATGTACAAAGCGAAATATTAATTCATGCATCACTTTTGTCCTCCTGACGAATCGTATCGTTCGCGCTCCGTCGCGACAATATTCTCCAATCTGGAAGTGACCACTGAAAATGAAGACTATCATTGAGATGTCATCTTCGAGTTAGCAGTATCATCACACGTCGTTGAGATTTTATGTGTTCCAAATGCTGGCTGTGTGAAAGAAGTGATCAACCTTTCAGATATTAACAAATGCTCGATAGAAGTCTGCACTACTGACACTTTTAAGTTAGTGAGTCTGGAATATCCGTGCTGAATGAAACGGTTCTGTTAATGAGCTGTTGACCACGGAAATTACCTTCAACGTTGACGGTGACTTTTTGCAAGCAATGATCCCTAATGATGGACCTGCGTACCCGTATTGTAGATTCAAAAAATTACAGTCTTGATCCTAAAGGCGTAATTCGTTCGGCTCCACGTCGTCTTATTGTGATGCGTCATGGCGAAAGAATCGACGATCTCTTCCCTGACTGGATAGAGAAATCTTCTACGAGTGGATCGTATAGAGCATATGATTTGAATATGGTCATTTTCCTTACAAAAACCTTTTTTGACTCATTTCACTGAAAAACGTCATGACGATTCATGCCACAAATATGAAAATATCAAACCTTCATCATTCCTCAACTATCATTCATATTTGCTTCATGCGTCAAAAAATGGGAACAAGATTATTTTTCCGTTGTATGAAATCAAATGAGTTCAAGCTGAATTTTTGAGTTTTTGAAGAGAGTGCTAACGCGATTATGCTTCCCCCTCGAGAATATTCAGAGATGTGACAAATATGAAGCATCTGAAAAGTCATTGATGATATATTTTGGGATGAAATTTTTTTCCACAACTTTTTTCGATATGTCAAAATATCATGAGTAAGTGGAGGTCGATGATAAGACTCTGTAGGAATTGATACAACTGCAGCCATCCAGAGATTTGATTTTTCAGCCTTTGGTACTACCAGAACTAGATCGACCGATGTCAGAATACGCTGCCGATACAGTGCTCACTGAAATGGGTTCGGTACTGGCACAAATGGTTGGTCGTGGTTTGTTCATCAATAAAACTCTTCCAGGTTTGTTTTTGATCAGTGCCCTCGTCATATTCCTTTCGATAAGTAAGCGTTCTAGCATCAGTGACTGGACAATTGCACAGAATACTAATTTTCCGACCTCCTCCATTAACCCCCCCCCGGACACCTCCAAATTACCTAAAACAGGTAATTCCACCCCTATGAGAACCACTGCTCTACACAATGTCAAAAGTCCAGTCAAGTTCAACCTTTAGAATAAAATGAGAGTGGAGCAAGGCAGTACCTCAAAGCCAACATGAACCACTCACAAGATAATCAGGATCTAAGGTATTGAACCGTATTTATTCAGATGTTGTGTATGCATCACCCGCTTTACGTTGTATACAAACGGCGTCATTTGCGATGAAGGCAGCCGGATGTGACGATCAAGTGAAAATTCGTATAGAACCAGCACTGTTCGAATATGAGAGCTTATATCCTGGTGGACAGCCGAAATTCGCAACTGCAGAACAACTCAAAAAAGCAGATTTTAATATTGATCAAGACTATAAGCCAATTATGCCTCTCGAAAAGGTACATATTTGTTGATAATGGATTTATGACAGCAGTAAGATTTGCTTCGAGCTGTGCAACATCTGTGGACAAANNAAAAAGTTGCTTGCAAACATAAGCAGGGGTAAGGATGTGACTAATGATATTCTATGAGCTGACTAATCAGTTCATGAAATGATTTTGGATAGGAGTGTTCTTTTTTAAGATGTAATTTAATAATTTGAACGTTGCGAGTGGATGAAGATTGAGCAATTCGATGGATTTCAGCTTTGGAGTGAACCAGAAAATGTGGAACAATATGGTGATCGCTTGCAGCAGACTTTGTTGCAAATTGCCGATCGCGTTGAACGAAGCACTAATCCGTTTGGACCGATTGTTATGGTAAGGCATCATCAATTTCTCGATATTTCTTGCAAAGTTCGAAATTGTTTAGATGTCAAAACTGAAGTCAAATCAAATTCAAGGAAATGTGAACATAAGGAATGATTCTTTCGCATAACAATTGCAAAATAATATCAATTTTCGCGTCCGATGTAACTTAAGATGTGTCAGAAAAACCAAATTTGTCATTAAATTCCTTCCTTAGCCCATTGCTCTTACCATGGCTTAAAATTAATCGAATAATCTGCCTCATTCATTGCTGCTGACTCCAGTGCTAAAATAAATCATCTGAAAACATAAAATCCTTCTTGTGAATGAATATGTGTCGCTAACAGGTGGTTGGACATGCGTCTACAATTGATTTAGCGATCGGTGTATTTCGTGAAAAGATTCGTCGTGCAGTGCCTGCCGAACTGCTCAACAACGGTTTACACTATCCATTCTGTGCNACTTCCGTCTTCGATCGAATTCCACCCTCTATGCAGTGGAAATATTCCGAAAACGCTCTACCACCAATCACCTATCGCAATTTCACTTCGAGAATCAACTCAAAATTCGCCTTCAGAACGCCTGTCGAATAACGCAACAGGTCACTTTCACTGCTTTGTTGCATTAGCGATGGTTATTTATTGATATCGAAACACCTGAAAACTTGTCGAACCTTATGAATGTTCTTAAATGAATAGTACCTTGAACCTTAAATGAATAGTGCTGTTAGAAATTTTAGTATAAATTTTTAGTAAATGGGAATCGTTTCTAGCTCGTAGTGGAATGTTATGCTAGAAACCGAGTGGTGCATCAAAGACACCAATGCTACTGGGCCTGAGCCACAGGCCATAATTTGGCTTGTATCTGATTGCCTATTCCAAGTAATGTGCTCATTTCCAGGTCTCGTATTATTTCTCAATCACTCTACGACTAAACAATACCTCTGCATAAGCGGAATGTGTTTCTAGGCGATGCATTGCTAAACATAATCGCTATGAATATTGAAAAAGACAACAGTGTTTTTTGTTTCATTCGAATGTTATGAAATTCATTTGATTTTATTGTTGCGTATTGAAGCACTTTCATAAAAATTCTTTATTCGGTTCAAATGACAGTGTTTATAATAGATTTCTCATGTAAGTGCACTATCGGTGCCGATTACCAGCAGCAAATATTTCCTCGCTCTTTATGAATCTTGTCCGAATCAAATCTCTTGCTACTGACTCTAACGGTTTTGGCTATTTCGTCATTTTACGAAAAACAATCCTGTCATCTGATTTTCTCATCTCACATTAGTATTCCCGGAATGTGAACCGTACACGGACTCTTGGATAATATATGCACCAATTGTCCGATGTAACTTAATCGTTATCATTCACCAGCAAGCACTTTGTCCTGTTTTCTCGCGTTTCTGCTTGAAATATTTGCCAGCGGTTCAATGAAAAATAATTACCATGATGGCGATAATACTCTGCGATGCTAATCAAACAATATTCACCATCAGTGATGCACTGATAATATGGTACTATTGATAGCGGCATCAAATAATCATCAGAGTAAACTGTGCGAGCAATGATAAGTAACACAAATGATAACAATTCTTATAACAACGATAGAAGATCGGAAAATAATAAAATGAAAATATTTTGTAGCGAGGAATAAATAGCGAGGAAAAAAGTATTCCGAAAATGGAACGGATCAACAAATACATACACAAATCCTCAATAAGAAGATAAATAATCACTGAGCATCTCATAATTAGTAATTAGCTGAGTTTATAAACAAAACAATAAAACACTTTTGGAGAAGGGATCATTTCAAATAGGTTTAACGAGGGCAGAACAGAGGTTGGGGATTATTCGAATGGAAAACAAACGGAATGCATCATAGAGGACAGATGAGACTATAAGGCCACAGGCTTCGGGTTTGTTGAGTTATTGTGCAATGAATCGACAACTACGGTTGATGAGATCAAGTGTATGCTCCGCTCGTCAATATAATCCAAATCCGAAACATCCACCATACATTCACTCTCCTCACTCCTTGAACACATCTCATTTTATCAGCAATTGCGATGACTCATTAATCACTGTTAACATCACTAAGTTAACAGTGTTAACATCACTAATTCCCTTGTTTTTAGTAACAATTGCATTTTGAGCCTTTTAGACGGAAGAACAACATACCCAACTAAAGAGGAACTTTTCTCCGCTGATGTAACTTTAACCGTCGTATAATGCAGTTTCTCTCTTGTCTAGGTGATTTATCAACGTGAATGAGTGAATCTGCTCACCTGAGAGGTTGTTGCTTCATCGGCGAAATCTTTCTTACTGTGGCAACTGCAGCAGCAGTATCATTGGCTAGTGTTGGTTGTGGGGCGTATATGCTGCGTCGAGGACAGATCTTGTCTTTGAGAAAGACAAATAAAACGAGCAATAGAGCTATCGAGGCCACTACTATTGTGAATATTATCAGAAACGTATCGATGCGTTCTCGTGGCCAACTCATCCTGAAAAACTCATTTTCAGATGTTATCATTACATAAATATAGTTTGATATTATGACCGACGTAAGCGTATCACAACAAAGCTTTGGCTATGCATCACAGATGTAATTTGGTTGGTCGGATACGTGGTAAGTATTTCAGGATAATAGAAGGGGAGCGGGGGGGGGGGTGCCAATTTTTCAATATTGACTGATTTTTCTTATGATTCTTCCATTATTGTTGGCTAACGTTCTCAAAATGCTTGATCTTCTTCGACGCCACGGATAAGCTATCGCAACAGTTTTTTCGATTACTAAATCAATTTTTGAAATTTTTTTCCTGACATTCTATCAAGCTATGGAAGCAGTAGGTTCAAGGAGAAATGTGCAGTGAAGTGGTGCTTACCTAAACTGTTGGACTGGGAATGGATTGCTGCCGAAACTGATGTACGGAACGCGCTTGCGTGATAAGCACTCGATTGATTATATTGATGCAATTTCGCATAGGTTTCTAACGAACCACTTGCCCAATATCTTCAATACTTCATTCAGTCTCAAGTGAAATTCTGTGACATGAACTCGAAGCGTCACACACGAACGGCTAGTTGGAATTATGCATTAGCTGAAGAATTACCTAATTCGACTTACGTATTCGCTGGAGAATTATGAATTACGTAATTCAAAAGTTACATTTTCAGGCTGTCCGTTAAATCGTTGGCTGTCGAAATGAATCGAATAAATCAATAATCGAACGCGTCAAATTACAATCAACAGCTGTCAACACAGTGAAATATTATCTATCGAAGACAACACGGAACAAGCGAGAAATATTCATTCACTGAAAATGGTTTGATCGCAAATGCGCAATCAAATGCGTCCCACTGCCGAAATTTATAGCTTCAAAACAAGTGATAAAGCTGACAAAATGGAAGAAGTGATAAACATGATAATAAGAATTATTTACCAATGACAACAATATAATCATGATAGTAATAATAATAATGACAAGCACCAAAGTTATCAGTTATTTTGACTTATCAACCAGTTTGTGGTTTTGCTTAAATCAGTCGAACTTCATAAAGTGATTCGAGACGAGAGCTTGAATGATTCGATTCAAGAGTTTCAGTGAGGAAATGATGATTATGGTATGCAATTGGGGAAGATGATTCAAATGATAATAATGTACTGCCATTGATACTTGCAAGATACACATCGATAGGTTTCGAAACGTGAACATCAAAATTGCTTCATCGGTCGTAGTTCACTAGGATCATGAAACCAAAATCCTTTTCTGATTCTATCTCACTCTCTTGAACTCTCAGAACGTTCCAAGAAAATGATAATTACGCGTAGAAATGTGTGAAGAAATCAGCTGAATTATGGAATAATTGTGGATTCCAACTGACAATGAGTCTTCTTTAAACTGGTGCAACATTTTTGTACCACAAAATATGAAAATTACTCTTTGATGAAAAAATTCCCTCAACGAATGTTACAATTTGCTATTTTCCTACTCATTTCCACAAATTATTCTATTATCGTCATTCGTATTATTATTCCAATCAAATGGAACAAACCAGTTTGTGCACTAAAAATTTATCGTTGTTTTTTTCAGATGTATTATTATACACGTATGTTACTGTCTGCACAAAAAACACTAAATGAGCTTCGAACGTTCTCCCGAAAAAAGTATTCTTCGGAAAATGTTATTATCGCAATAAATGCACGCAACATCTTGCGCATTGAATAAACATTTCACGATTCAACTCAAATTATCATCCTTGTATTATTGAGAAGTGGTGTAATTAAGTACAGTTCAGAGGAATATTTCTATTGGGTACTGACTGAGAAAAAACCACTAATAGTTTATGTAAGCAGGAGTATTTCCTCTTCTGCTCCTTCCTGACTTGATGATGCGTAAACTGCGAGAAAATTACGAGGATTGATTGATAGAAGGGCCACGAGGTAGTAGAATTGGGTATGGTAACAACATGCGTAACAAAAGGTAACAAAATGCGGCTGATTGAATTTCATTACTCGGGAAGATCTTAATGAATATTATTCGGGGAATCTTACAGCACAAACGAAGCACTGAGTTTTTTTTCGCTCGTAATACTTTCGATGATGAGTGAATGCTTTAGTGGCGTTCACAGGTACCAATACGAGAAGAAATGTCTCATTTGCAAATGCACCCTCAACCAGTTCATTTGAATTGCTAATCAAATCCACTAACTGATGAACGCAATTTTGACTTTGAATTCAATCTTCAGTGAACCTTCACGGAAGGCTTTCGTCAGTTTGTTGCAGAATATTTCCGTAAATCTTAGCGGAATTTTACCATTAGATTTTTCATTTGTCTACAGAGGATGAAATCATTTGAACGTTGTTCATTCGCAGAAATGATGAAGTGATCGTTGAGCGATGGACCGGAAGAGATCAACACTGAATTTTGAGAAAAATTCTGAACTTGTTTTTCCATTTTCGATGAACTGTTTGAACAAAATGAGAATACGAAACGATGCACCGATAAGTCCACCCGTATTCCATCGGTCACGCGGTGCATTTGAGTCCCTTCCTGTAGGAGACATTAATACAGTTAGCTGCGCGGAAAACAGGGAGTCCAAAAAAAGGTTAACATGATATTGATGATAAGAAAGAGGCATAGACTCTTAATGCGTTATAATTGCTGATTAAATAAGTGAATCCAACGATTGAAGCTTTCCGTTGTCTGCACATGAAAATCAATTCGCTGAAGACATCACTGAAGTCTGCATATGAAGTCGTCTGATGCTCAGCATGAGTACTGTTGAAATGAGTGAATTGTTGAACGAAGAAAAAATGTGGCGACCACCAAACAGAGCAAAAAGCAAAACAACAATTGATGAAGTGCTCAAAAATGTGTTGGCAGTAAAAGAATGCGAATAGTCAAAAATGAAATATTAAATTGAGAAGAAAACTTAACCGAATTTTTCAGCATATTTGATATGTGATGTGATTCCATTCCTTGGAGAGATGAATGGATTGGTTCATAGTTTTCGACAGCTTTCTATTGTTTCATCGCATAAAACCACGACAAGCACGAGCAAGTGAGGATTGACTTTTTTTTGCACATAAATGAGAAAATTCCAATTTCAGAAAACTTTTCGTATGGACTAAATTGTGTTCGAGATTAAAAAGTTTCAATAGTGCATCAGTTACAACCGGATGTGGGCAACGGAAAGCAATGCGAATCTCTCTCTGATTGTAACAATATTCCGGCAAAATGTTCAAAGGAAAGGCATCGATTGATTGTGATCTTTGAAATTCCGATTTAAGATAGTGAAAATTCCCTAGTTCCTCTTCGAACTAATGTTTCCTCAGAGTCGTCCATGAAAATCATTTTGCTATTCATATCTAAAAATTTCCAAAAAGGATGCTATAATAATCCCAAATTTTTTAAACGCTTCTCAGATGTTTCCGTGTAGTTATGAAATTAACCCTGATAATATTATGAAAATGGAGCTCAGTATCTTTCTCAAAAGTTCGTGAGCAAATTGGTGGTATAAACGCCCTCTCTCGGATCCTCTTCGTCCCCTCTCCGTGAATGGGCCTGAAAAGATACAATCACTGGGAATGATACAAGATACAATCACTGGATCCTCTTCGTCCCTATCATACAACCGCAGTTTCTTACAATTCTTTTCACTCTTCCCCGTAAAATCTTCATCGGTTTCTAAGCAAAATTTCTTCACACAGAAAAGTTCTGCTATCTTACTGAACGAATTAATATTCAACCTCTCTTTTTATGTTGTGATCTATATGTTATGTTATTCATAGATTATTGAATTTTCTAAGGGTGTGCTTTATCATCTAACAGTAGTGTTTGTCCATCTCTATGGGAACTCGAAGAATCAACAATGGCTCAACCATATTGACAACATTGAAACACAGAGTATTTTGCTTAAATGTATATTGAATTTCTCGAATAATTTCATACTTAAGGGAATCGAGAAATGNTTCTAAACATTTCAGCCTTTTTATTGCTAAATTGTGGAAAGTCAAGGCCAATACAAAGCCACAAAATGTCAGTTGGTACACGAAATAATTACGATTGCACGACTTGTCAATCAAAACATGCGAGTTGCTGCCGAAAAAAAAATTGCTTTGTTGAACGTTTGAAGTGAGCGCATTGCGAAGAGTAAGTCACTTTCACGAGAACTGCAAAATGCAGTGAAGTGAACGCAGCGAGTGATCAATGATGTTAATACATCGAACATGAAATGGGCCCTTTCATGGTCATGGAACATCATTTTCGAAGGTTGCGGATCTCGGTACAACGTTTTTTTTTTCATACTTCACCTAATTCAGCTCAGAATTTCGCTTCATAAGACAACAAACTTCTTGGAACGTTGAACACACGAAACAGTCCAATTATTCAGATAACAGGCGATCAGTCCTATGACGGAACTTCAGTGACTGAAAGTGAACGCGGCTTCTGTTAGTAATAGAAAAGAAGTGATTCTGAGCTGAATCTTTGGCATTTAACGCAGACAGCGAATCGATGCCAGTTAATAAATTTTTGACGAATAAAAGTGTTTTCGGGAAAAATTAACTATTTCCAGCCTCTTTCATTGTCTTCAGTTAATTGAACGAATTAGTCGTTGAAAAGTTTCAACGAAAATATCTGATAAAAATCACTCGTTAGCCAAAAAACTATTGAAGATCTTTCTCATTAACTGTCACATAACGAAAACACTCAAACTCTTCCGAAGTTTTGCAACTGAGAGATCCGCAAACAAAATTTCGCGGCTCGTAGTCTGTGCGCAAGATTGATATGTTGAATGCGATTAAGGTGTATCACATTCAATCCACTGCAATTTCACTTACTCAGATTTCTTCTTGTGTCTCTATGACACCTATAAGATACAATTATCATTTCGCTGAACAACTGTTGGCGCTCAACTAATTAACTTTCGATATTTGCGTAGTAATATAAACGAAAATGTTAATTACCCGCACTCGTGCATTATTTTCCGTCAAACTTT